GACAGACAACTTGGCTAATGGTCTAGGGACACCCAAGCAGGCATGGCTCTGCAGGTCATTTCTTTCTTTCACTGGGCAGTGAAGGTTTTTCTTTCAAATCATGTTCCTAGTAGCAAGACAGAAAAACTCCTGAGAAAGTACCTGCAGGGCTTCAAGAAAAAAAAGGGCAGGGAAAGAAAAGAAAAACCGTTTCAAACTATGTTTAAAGTTGTCTGAGCACCATTGGGAAACTAAGAGAATTCACTCATGTTGTGAGTAAGCCCGTTCTAACCTTGAGAAGCAACAGGGCATAAGAAAGAGGTGACCGTCTGAAGACCAGCTGATGGGCTTGCTGTATCACCATTCTGCTGACCCACAGGGGACTGGCTGAGCAATAAGGCAACATCAGAAGAAAAGAGAACCCTGAAGGTTTGGAAATATTTCACCATGGCTCGATGCTTTTTCTCTACCTAAGCTGTGTCATACAGGACAAAGGACATTGGACCAAAAAGCCTTGAGGTCCGTTGACAAGAAGGGTGGACAAGTCACTTCGCCCTCTTGGGCCCGCCCACAAAATGGAGATCATTGTGAGGATGTATACTAACTTTGAAAAACAGAAATCACAATGCAAATGGAAAATGTATTGAAAAAAATCTTTGCAACTGAAAATATTTGAGCTTTTATTATTATCACAGAATGTCAAGCTGTAAGAGAACTTAGTCATCTCTTTTAGCAGTTCCTAATTTTTGGATTTCACAGAATATTAAGAACAAACAGAAAAAGGGAAAATTTATATCGGATTGCCAAATTTTTTATTTTGCCAAAAATGAAAAACTATCCCCTGCTGCCACTTCAAATCATTAAAAGAAAATAAGTATCCCACGAAAAAGAAAAAAGATGACTTCAAATTAAAGGAGTGTCCTTGCGAAGGAGGGGACTGGTTGCCAAAAATACACTCCTGTGTGTGACAGAGGCTACATCTCCTCTTTGCATTTCCCTGGGGGCCCTTAAAAATATAAAGTGATGGGCACTGGTTGCAAAGATGGGTGTTTGCAAACCACTGATATATTCCCAGCTCTGTAGTGATTAGTTTCCCTTGAAAGAAACCTAGCTACAGTATTAAATTCGAATTAGAGCCTGAAGGAAACTTTTTGTTTGCTCAGACCCCTCCTCCGCTCTCAGACTTAAACTTCCACTGCTTTTATGTAAATGAGACACCGTAGGGGAGACAGTCCTGCCCTCCCTCGGCAGATGGCACTTAGTTCACAAGAGCAATCCAGTACCTCGGCTTGAAAGTGAATGGAGCACTCTGATGCACAATTTATTTCCTACGGGAAAAAGAAAGTTTGAGTTTCCCTGCTCTTTTTTTGGAGTGAGTGGAGGTAGCTCATCTGTCGGGCGGCCCCGGTGTCAAACAGAGCATCCTTCCAACGAGGCCGCGGAATTGCCACATCCAGCCCTCTCCCAACTCCGAAAACTTAAAGCAGGTAACAGGGCTTTTCACACAGCTGCCAGCCCACGGCAGTGTCGCGCTAATGCAATCAACTGCGCACACACAGACACACACGTCTCCTCTCCTCTGCCCTCTGCTCCAGAATCCTCCAGAGTTAGAGGAGTGTGCGATACGGAGCGTTCGTATCGCGGGAGAGATCCAGACAGCAGGGCTCAGATTCGGAAGTCCCAGACGGGACTGCGGTTTGAAACTTGGGTCTCCCTTCGGGTTTGTGGTGACTTGAGGAGGAAGCAGGGGCATTACATCTTTTAAGGACGGCAGTCGGCCTGGGCGCAGTGAAACTCTAGAGTTCGCTCTGGGGCCCTGAGCACCAGCAGGTTGCAGGAGTTGCCCTCCGGGGTAGCCGTGGCCCCCCACTTTGGCTCCAGAGAAGACTCCGGGTCTCGAACCTCCAACTGCCCTTCGTCACACGGGGACCAGGGCACCAGCAGCATCACTAGCGCCTACCGCCGGCCGCAAGGGCCGCTTTGTGCCAGGGAGTGCAAAGACCCGGCCCCAACGCAGGGCCAGTGGCGGCCCTCCCCGCGCACTGGGCGCGGGCGCCCGCGGACTGGGTCAGGGGACGGGCAAGGCTGTTTACACAGGAAGGGAAGGCTCCTCCTCAGCCCGGAGGGGACTGGCGGCCGACTACAGCCCCGCGGGGCTGCGCGTGGAGTGGCGCACGCAGTTCCAAAGCCCCCACCGGGTCGAACCCCAGAGGCTCACCCACCCGGGGGTGCTCGGAAGACGCTTTCCACCCTGAGACACCGCCTCCCGCCCAGGCCCCTCGGAGACGCCTGCGGACGGCTCCGTGTGCGACAAAGTTTCTTTCTGCACGGCGGGCAGCCGGGCTTACCTGGGAGCCCGGGCAGGAACGCGCAAAGCCCGAGGAGGCAGGCGTACAGGGGCGCCGGGGCCCGCGGCATGGTGGGGCGCCCGACCTCAGCGG